GACAGCCTGAGGGGTGTGCTGCACAGTCACGGTGGACAGCCTGAGGGGTGTGTCACAGTCACGGTGACAGCCTGAGGGGCGTGTTGCACAGCCACAATGATACTTACTAGATCCAGGGCAGAGCCTCCACCAAGATATTCCATTATTATCCATAATTTAGTGTCCTACAGAAGCAGAAGAAAAAGGGGAGAGTTAGTTTTAAAACAAAACTAGAAAAAGTATTTGAGTAATTGGAAAAAATATGTGGTATTGTGTTCCCCAAAATATTGTGCACGCTAATAAACTTATCTGGGGTCAGAGACAGAACAACCACAATATTAAACAGAGAGGATAGGCAGTGGTAGCACACGCCTTTAATCCTAGCATTCCAGAGGCAGAAATCCATGTGTTCAAGGATACAGCCAGGCATGGTGACTCACGCCTTTAATCCCAGAAAGCGAGCCTTTAATCCCAGGGAGTGATGGCAAAAAACAGAAAGGTATATAAGGCGTGGAGATCAGAAACTAGAAGCATTTGGCCTGGTTAAACATTTGGCTGGTTAAGCTTTCAGGCTTCTAGCAGCAGTTCAGCTGAGAGCCATTCGGATATGAGGACACAGATATAGTGGTATTTTATTTGAACTGAAATGTGATTTTACTTGTACGTTAATAAATAAAGTTGCTTGGGGGTCAGAGCTATTAGAGACATAGCAAGAGCGTGGCGGTGGTGGCACACGCCTTTAATCCCAGCACTTGGTAGACAGAGTTAGGTAGATCTCTGTGTGTTCAAGGATACAGCCAGCATTGGAGACACACACCTTTAATCTCAATTCCATAAAAGACCTGGAAGTCTCTACAGACAGGCAGTGCCGAGGCAGTCATGTGTTTGGGTTTACAACCAATGAGAAGGCAGAACAGAAAGACTATTTAAAGACAAACACACAGGAAGTAGGTCTCTTTCGGAGCGGTCTCTTGGCTTGCTTAAGAGGCTAGCTAGCTGCAGGGTAAGGCTCTTAGCTCTGATCTCTTGGCTTTCTTCTTTGCATTGGTTCTGTGTTTCTTATTTAATAAGACAGTTGGTTACATCTACACACAGAGGCTTCCAGTCTGAGGAAAGAAGATCAGCTGAGGATCCGGAGAGGTGAGGTTAGCTGTGGCTTGTTCTGTCTCTCTCAGCTTCACCCCAATACTTGGCTCTGCATTTGATTTTTATTAATAAGAACTTTTAAGATTCATGCTACAAGAATATTTTGTTATTATTTTAGACTTACACATTTTATAACACCAAAACACAGTGTGTAAATGACAACCAGACAGAAAACCACTATGCACATAAAACCCTTCTGCATTATCTTGCGGGCAGAAGTGGCCTGGAGCCCTGCCCCTGCTGGAGAACAGGACTGAGGGCATTTCCATCTTGAACCTACTCCACTGGGTGCCCTCACACAGCTCAGTTTGAGGACCTGGAGCCCAGTCAGGGTCTGTGTGTAGCACACAGAGAGTAACAGGGCACTTCCTGTCCAGCATCATCACCCTGCTTCCCCCAACCCCAACAGATCAAAGCAGCCCAGCTTCTCCAGACCCCCATGAGCAAAGGGAGGGAGCACCTCACGGGACCTAAGGCAGCCTTGGATCCACTCCTGTAGAAAGGCTGCCAGTTTCTGGCACACCCAGAGTCATCAAATGCTCTCTTCAGCCCTGCCTTACCAGTGTGACTGTCCCCAGGGTGCTCTAGACGCTACTCTGCCCTCACACACTCCAGACTGCCCACCTGCAGGTTTGGGAACCAAAGTGAGTCCTGGAACCAATGCCCTAAGGGTCCAGAGTGATCAACGTGCCTAACAGTCTTCACAGCTTACTTCATCATGGAGTTCCTGTACTCACTAGGGTGGGGTGGACATACGAAAGTTCCCTTTCTAAGCTCCTGTCCTTCCAGGACAGTGGAGGCACCATGGAAGTCCCCTCCCGCCTACCACCATGTGGTCCCCACACAAGGACTGAGCTTTTGGGGTTCCTGCCTTCTCTCCTTGCCTTGGACCAACCGTCTCTGTCTGGCACTCATTTCAGATCCATTTCAACATAACAGCCGAGCTCTGCAGCATGAAGGCCGACAAGATGTAGAGGACGAGCCTCCTGGACCAGCAGGACACTGCCCACACAGGGCCCAGCAGAGCAGCGGGCACCTCAGAAACACAGTCCGCTAATGCCTCAAGACCCTGTGAGGGTGCGTCCACGGCACCCGCGTCTCCTCACCCTGCTCGCCACAGCCTCAACAACTGGGACATGGGGCTCTCCAGAGAACTAGCGGGTGAGCAAGCCGAGCAGCTCCTCAGTCACCCTGGAAAGCTGGCAGCACCCTCCCCAGCCTCCGCTCACTACACCTCAATCCTGAAACGCCACAGTTGTCACCACGCTAAAGGAAGGGTCAGCTTTGTGAGGAAAACCAGAGTGGAGAGGCACCTGAAGGCGGGTGATGTGGAGAGGGAACCCTAGGTTAGCAGAGCCCAGGGCTAAACTCTCCCTCCTGCCACACCCACCAGCTCCCCCTCACCCCTCCCCAGCAGACACCCACCAGTTCCCCCTCACCCCTGCCCAGCAGAGGACACCCACCAGCTCCCCCTCACCCCTCCCCAGCAGACACCCACCAGCTCCCCCTCACCCCTCCCCAGCAGACACCCACCAGCTCCCCCTCACCCCTCCCCAGCAGACACCCACCAACACCCACCCCCAGCCTGTCTTCCAATCTTTTCCTCTCAGCTCACAATGCCTCCCTGCCTCCTCTGGCCCCCCACCAGGCCAGAATAACCCCCAACTGCAGGTTTCTCTTGTCTACTGGGGGGGGGCAATAAACCTGGTTCACCTCGCATAAAGAGGGGGGGTTCTAAATCCAGTTACACAGAGCTCTTGGTCAAAGAGACACAACTCTAAGAAGGGACTGCGTGAAGGAGAATGGTAAGGGGGGGAGGGGCCTAGAGAGGGCAGGCCTTGCGGCCACAGAATGCACTTACACACCAAGGCCCTTGAGAGAGCAGATCCAACCACACAAGTGAGAGCCCTGTGTTTAGAAGCCACTGTTGTGCACATCTACCCGGAACAGAGTCACGCACAATCCTGCAGTCTGTAACCCACAGGCTCAACAGACTCGGTCTCCACACCAACACTAGAGGGGCACCGGACGCTGGCTAAGGGCTGGGAACCCTGATGAGTTCCACCCGCAACCCAACGAGAAGCCGACAAAAGGGACACCTGTCCTTCCATATCCACGGGTGCCGGGACCCAGGCCAGTGTCACACAGTCCCTCATGCAAATGGCCTGTTTACATGGAACACACACACACACCGCAGACCGCTTCCCACACCCTTTACACCCTCTAGGTTAAACAACCCCTACGGCAGTGAAATTGCTACGGAAGAATGATCGACAAGGAAAAACCTGCACACATCAGCACACACACAACAGCTACCCAAAGACCATTTCCCATCAGGAAGCCAACTCAACGATTCCCACTCCCCGGGCCAAGGGCAGCCACTGCAAACTGAAACGAAGCTGGACGTCAAGTCACTGAAAGCCCGAGCTCCAATCTGGGCCTGGGTGGTGGCTCACCCCGTAATGCCAGAGCTAGGGGGACTGAGGCACACAGACCCCCGTGAGATCAAGGCCAGCCTGTGCTGCATGATGAGTTCCAGGCAGGGATGAGCCTGGGCCACAAAGTTCTAGTCCTAGTCCATGTACATGTACATGTACACGTACACACATAGACACACACACACACACACACACACACACACACACACACACACACACACAGTAAAATCTTTCCACTCACTTATCCAAACGCTAATGCCCTACTCACTGGGGCACACTTTCCTTTCAACTGACATTTTTCTACAAAGCATCTCTAGAAACCCATGAAGGGTTTTGTCTCCCTTGCCATAACTAATCTAAGCCCTAGACATCAGATTGTTCCACTGTGAGATCAATCAGGAGTCAGTGACGGTCATTCTCCCATCAGAACTGACAGGATTTTAACAGGAAGCTGACCTGTCAGTACAGACTCCAGCAGTGTGGGAAGAAAGTGCCCACCCCACCCCACATCTGCGCATCTGTTTCTGCGGCTGTGGGCAGGGTTGGCTGGGAGGTCATGTTTTACAGTAGACTCATCAAAGCTCACAGTCCTGGACCTCAGCGTCCTCCGACCCCAGTCCCCCGAGTGCACAGGTCACAGGTATCAACTTCATGCCCCTCTGCTGGTTTGACAGAGAATGGCCCAGAGAGGGAATGGCACTATTAGGAGGTGTGGCTTTGTTTGAGCAGATGTGACCTTGACACACTTGAGGAAGCGTGTCAGTGTGGGTGAGCTTCGAGGTCTCCTGTGCTCAAGCTAATCCCAGTGAGACAGACCACTTCCTGCTGCCTGCGCAAGATGTGGAATCCTCAGCTACCTCTCCAACACGATGTATGTCCCACCATGACGATAATGGACTCAACTCTGAACTGTAAGCCGCCCCAATTAAATGTTTTCCTTTATCAGAGTTGTCATGGTCACGGTGTCTCTTCACAACAGAAACACTAAGACACTCCCCACAAACACTTCACCATCTAATAGGCACTCAGAAGCTATTTTTGCTTTAAAAAAACAAACAAACAAACACTGATCCTCACCGCCTACAAGGTAATTAATTAGATGCAGATGACCTGGCATTTCTACCTTCATTTTCTGTTTGTCATAGTCTTGGAAGGAGAGAAGATATTTTAGAGAGACACTTCATCCTATCAGGACCACTAACAATTAAATTTTCCCAGGTATCTCATGCCAGTCAGGAGGAACTTGTCTGACAGGAAGAGATTTCACACTGACAATTCATCAGGCTGCCCTGCAAGACACA